CTTTCAACTCGGATATCCTGTGTTTGATGCACAGGTTACTTGTTCATACAAAAGCTTGACCTTTAGACTAACAGTGAATAAATTAGATATTTATTCAATACGCAATCATTTTAATGTTATATAATTAATTATTTTGTTTAAGTTCTGGATTTATTTCATCGTTTTCACTATTTTATGTACAAATAATTGTGGAATGCTTACTATAAATAAACACTTTATTTCGATTCATTCATTATAATAATTTAATAAAGTAAGTTGGTAAATAAATCAACCAAAGTAAAGCGGATTGCGAGAAAATAATTTCACATTAAATGAATACCACAATCATAAATATGATGTGAGGTGAAATCACCTTAATTTTATAATTGTAGTTAGTAAATGTGTCCATAATTAACGTCATCTTTTGAATGATTCACATACATTTATATCATTAGATTAAGGTTTTATGGTACAGTAATAGAACAGTTGAAGATAAATGGTTTTTATTAGAAGTATATTAAAATATAAAATAGATATCGCTTTGCCCTACTTTTTTGCTTTGCTTTGCCTCATTGGGGATATGTTTTACTACTATTATTTGTTGTTACAGTTGTCGTTTCATTGTTGCGATGGCTGTCGTGATTAAATCGCTAATTCAAAATAAATAATATAATAATAGCAATTATTTTCTATTAATTAGTTTTTACTGCACGAAGAACATATAACGTGTCATATATTTGTATAACCATTGTTTCTGAAGTCGCCGGTGAGGTCAACTACACCCAGACGATGTCATCAAGCGGAGAGATTCGGGACCGATCACTGATTTTCGATACTAATTGACAAAATTAAGCCGTCTTCTTTCTGATTTTTTTGGAGTAAATGTTCTAATAGGAAAAAAATCACGCTTTGGAATTCGCATAGATCTTTCTCTTCCGTTTTTGATTAGAAAATAAATTTAAAAAAATATAAAATATTTGAACTCCAAAACCGGAAGTAAAAATTTCAAAAACTTCGACCATTTTTCTTAAATTTATTGATTCCAAAAAATAGCTCAATGTATATTTTAAGTAAACTAGAAGTTTCATAGTGGGATGGTTACTAGTTAGGATGATAGGTAAATTAATGTGCACGCATGTCGCACTGAGTTTGACGTTGCATACTAGTTTATGGCAGCTGTATCATTTTGTGTCAGCGTGTTCAAGAACCGGTGACCCTGGAACACATGTAGTTTCATATCTACCACCAAAATGTGAAGCTAATGTTAAATAGTGGAGATATTGCTAATCTTACAGCGGGAACTCACATGCAACTTTTAAATTTCTTGCTTGGCTTGTCTTCGCAAGATGATGTGTCCCTATTCAACAGAGATGTAATGGCCCATTTCAAAAATTTGAAAAAAACCATTAAACAAAATTTTATGTATTTGTTCATACTCGTACCAAGCAGAGGTATGACTAACCCGAATATACGAAAACAAATTCTAGTACCTCACTTTTGTTCGATGTCTGCTTCACGTGAAATGCCAAGGGCATGAAATGAAAAAACAATAGGATATTCCATTTCGTACCGTAGTTTTATATTTATTTTTGAGTTTCCTTAGTAAGTTGTTCAGAGTAACAACAATGCCTGAGTTGCTCAATTATTAATTCTAAACAATACGTTATAATCGTAACTGCTTTACCATATTACATTGCGAAGAGAAAATAGCTTAGATACGCGAATGCGAATAATAGCAATTCACTGTTTCAAGTGTTCTGCAGAGTTTTGAATAAGTTTGAAGTGGTTTTTATTTGCCAGAGAATGCGTTCATAAAGAAGTTATAGAAAATGCTAGAAAATAACACACTAGTGTTTGTTCGTTGTTCGTTGTATACAGAGCACTAATTACTTATTATTTGCAGAAGTTACAGTAATTGGGGCGATAAATCTACGCGTTAGTTAATGACTTGAACTTATAACTCAAGACGGAGTTGTTACAAAATGCAATTGTTTGAAGATAAAGTATCTGACCTATTTTAGTATAAATAATTATAAATGTATCTATGATCTTTAATCGTATATACAATTTCACAGTAAGATACATCGGAGCCCTGCTAAATACCAATATTTTTAGAGTTAGGCTAGTGGTTAGCAATCAATTGTTCCACAATTGAGGGTTTCTTAAGGAAATTTTTGCCGTGCACCACCACTATGTGGAACCAGCTGCCCACTGAATTACTTCCAACTTTGACTTAGCTCCTTGAAGAATAGAGCGCACCATTTCTTAAAAGGCCGTCAACGTACTTGCGAGCCTCCTGGCAATGTTCGTGTCCTTGGGCGTCGGTATCACTTAACATCAGATGAGCCTGTTACAAAAAAAATCAGTCTAAGCTTAATTGAACTGTGGCTTTGAACTAATATTTTTACGAATGCTATTGAATATATAAAATATAAAAAAGCATTTTGTTTCATGCAAAACGTTACAATATTTCGTTATTGTGTCTCGATAAAAATTGAATTTTTTCATTTTCCAAATAACGAATGTCATGTCAATGTCAATGGGTCAATAACATGTCTAGTATTTTTTACGAATAAAGTCCAAATTCGTAGGTTTTTTTTCATATGTCTTTTATGCCTGCTATTCTCGCATGAATCTCTCAATGAAGAGTGAAGGCATCCAGGCGTTTCCATCTCTCTATTTTCAACCAATCATTTCCTATCTTCCCTATTTTCTTTTACCTTTAGTCCTTGCCATGTTTTAATGCGTCGGTCATCCTTGCTAAGTGTCCCGCCCGTTTCCATTTTAGTTGGCGGGATCAAGGACGTCAGAGTCAAGACGAAAGCATATATGGCTTGCACCTAATCCTAGTGTGAACCTTCAGCATTCTATCAATGCTCATCATGCTTCATTCCATACTTCGTTAGCAAGTTCGTATTGTGCTTTTTACATGATTTGTAATGGACCAGGTCTGGCATGTGTATGTAATTGAGGGAAGCCAACAAGAGGCCATGACTTTTCTTTAAATTTAATTGGTAGTTCTTTGTACTTCAGATATACAATTAGGCAAAAGATATTTGCTATAAGATATGTCAATTCGTCTACGTAATCTAGAGTTTCTCGTTTCATACGTTAAATGATTAATAGAGTTAGTCATTCATTTTGTTTCGTCTTCATTCACTTTTCTGCTCTCAGATTGTAAGGAGTTTATCATTTGTTTCAAATCCGAGGCATTTCCTAGGAAAAGCAAAGTCACATAAGGGACCGGTTTTTTTCTTATTTTACCCTGCTTGTCCAGTTGCTATTATTTATTAGCTTACTAGCACTATTCTATATTTATCATCTACTTCCTGTGAATATTTTATTCATGTACGGAGTAGCTCTCTGAATATTAAAAGGTATTTGAGTATTCATAGATATATGTTCCGATCCGTACAGTTTCGAATAAAAGTTTGTGACTAATTACAATTTTGTCCAATTTTTTCAGACTTTCGTTCCATATCTTATAAGAACTCAGTTCCTTGCTCTATTTCTACTGCCTGTCGCGGGTAGATGTTTCTCGAGTTTCGTAGTATTTATAGTCTAAGCTAGCTGCCCCCGCGAACTTCGTTTCTCTTAATGTGATTTTACTTAGCCTACCTTTTTAGTACCTACCAACATGGAACATTTTGCTATTGTACCCCGAAGACTGATCGATTTTCCGGAATGAAAACTTTTAAGGTTTTTATATGAATTTTTCTGTACCTCTGAGATCAAGTCATAAATTTTAAATTAACAAATAAAAAATAGGGGTTGACCGTATAGGGGTGAAAATTAGGGGTTGTATGTACTTTTATACGTTGTATCATAAAAAAATAAATTAACAAAAAAATAAAAATAAATTTATTGGGGTCTACGATACTATAGACGCTGAATCTTTAAATTAATAAGATGGGCGTTGGATTCATAAAGTTGTATTGCGCAGCAAAAATAACCTTAAGTAACGATTAGATTTAGCATGAAAGTGATATGTGTGGGATTTCGTTACTTTTTTTGTATTTTATCACTAAATACGAATTAAAGACCTCGCCTGTGAAGGCGGTTTCTTACCCTTGTATGATTTGGCGTTGCCGCGCGGTTTTTAATTTGTGATTAGCTACGGTGATTGGATCATCCGGATTTGTTACCTGCCGGGGTCAATGTACCAAGGGCTGTTAGATATTGTATATATGATCGCATAAACATTTCGTTAGCGCGATTCAAACTATGACGTCATTGCAGTAATTGTATCCGCAGATTGTAGATGTCGCCAAACCACAATAGTTTAAGTCGAACAATAAATTTAGACCAAATTATTTGACAAAAGAAAAAAATACACAAGCGTTCCAGTGCACATTTATTACTGCTTATGCGTTTGAGTACTTAAATTAGTTGTAAGTATTCTAAAATATGACTCTTGAATAAAGCCTTCCTTTATAGATAAATGTCCAAACTTTATAAAAGTGGACTAAAGATTGGATTATCTACGATATATCGGATATACGGAACATATCCACGTAACTACGGTAATAAACATGTTTAGTCCACATTTTATATAAGGTCGCATAAATTTAAAACATTTTTGTATTAATGAAATATATTTGACTTGATAAGAAACAAAAGATTTCAACATTTTAAGATGACACGTTTTTTGTAAACCAATGTCTACTATAATATGAGTCTTCATATTTGCGCACTGTGTACCGGAATCACTATGGCGACTATTAAGGGTACTCCCTGTCCACTTACTGTGTAACTTCCAACACCGACAGCGATACAAATTAGGTTATTTTTATACGCAAGTTCTATGTAGGTCTCTAAATATCCGTGGCGCATGTCGCGTCCCTGTGTTAGCGCGGAACAAAAACTCATTTGGGTCGGGAGTACTGTCGGAATCGCTATTGGAAGTTACAAAATAAGAGCTCTGGTAGTGTCAAATAATTTCAACTATTGTGTAAAATAACATGTGATGTAAATCGCGATTTTGTAAATCTCACATATATCAAATATAAATGATCATCACATCAAGACCGTGGAATGAATTCTGCTGTGAACGGCCTCGCTCCAGATATTAATCCGATGATTGGCTCTTCGGAAGGTAAAACACCATTCAAACTTTCGACCTTATATTTTTGAACGATTCCAACGAATGTAATGAAAATAAACGATTTCGCTAACGAATCGCCGGGGCAGCGCCTACGACCTGTTGAACAATGAACAATAAACAAAACATGTACTGGTAATAAAATTGTTAATGAAATTAAACCGAATTCAAATGCCTGACATTATTTACCATGATACCAGGTTTATTAGGCATGAATTAAGAAAACCTATATTTCTTTAATTTGGTATTTGATCATTAGTATCATATTGAAAATTTCACAGAAACAAAAAGTCAAAAGTTGTGGACAAAATACATAATAATAAATAGATGGTCATACTAAATATTATCGAAAACAACCTGCTTTCTCTACACGTTAGTTAAAAGATCATTATTTAAAAAATCATACGGATCTTTTATATATTGTATTCATAAAATCAAATATTTAAAAAATAAATAAATAATTAACAGTAAATATTTTTCAATCATATTTTACTGACGCATACTTTAAGCCTTTTGTAAAATAATAAGTATATATTAACAGTACAAGTAAGGATATATTTGTGATTTAGGGGCTGGCCCTAAACAATTACTTAAATATTTTTAACTCATTTCTTAAGATCCCGTAATTGAAAATATATACAAATGTTTTTAATTTATTAGTATAGGAAATTTTGCAAGAATGTAAATACATATTGTACCCATATTCATAGATCAATCTTTGGATAGTTCTAGCTAGAGTAATCTTTCGTCTCTCTCTGTCAGATTGAGCTGTGTTGAAAAGAGACAGAAGAGCACTTAAGCTAAAAGAGCGCAATTAACTGATAGTTTTTATGAATAACGGGGCACATTTTTAATAGAATTAAAACGCATTTGACTTAGTTTTACAATTATACCTATCCCGTATATGAAATACAATATATTTACCCATTCCAAAGGGATAAAAGTGATCGTTTTTAATCAAATTGCCATTAGAATCCAAAAATCTTTCAGGCATGAATTTGTGTGGTTTATCCCATATCTCGCTATCAAAGTGTACATCGCCAACTGCTAATAATACCGTGGTATTTTTTGGTATATTATAGTTTTCTATAGTGGTATCTTTAAGCACTCTTCTGGGACCAGCTAATGGTACTATTGTGTAGAACCTTTGGACTTCTAGAAGGAAAGCCATGGTGTATAGTAATCTGTAAAAGGTTTAAAGAGACGGTTTAATTTGTACTTCTGAAATCAATAACAATCTGTAAGTATTAAAGCACCAAATTACTTATTACACAAAGGCAGTATGTATCACATAGCAATACAAGCCAATAAGCAAATCTTATTGAGTATCTAAGTAATTTATTTACTATTGTAGTCGGTATCTATTTAAGGCCAGCAACGCACTTGCGAGCCTTCTGGCAATGTTAGTGTCCTTGAGCGGCGGTAACACTTAACATCAGGTGAGCCTCCTGCCCGTTTGCCTCCTATTATCAAGCCCAAAAGTGTTTCGCAAACATCAAACAAGGCTCCAGGTTATAGTGTGAAGCCTGTGCCTCAACAATCGTGGTTTTATCATATTTAATCGAACGAAGCCTACTCGAAGCGATATTTATTTCGCGTGGGCGAGTATTAATCACGTTGAAAGATAGGTCACAATTTAATCAATATTACAGTTTTTAAGGTAAAATTATGAAATTTCATATAGGTTAGTTTAGGAAAATTTGTCTTTGACGTATTTTAGCGAGTACAGCGTGAGTGCACATAGCATTTAATGTATTTTATCTTATTAAACTGTTAATATTATTAAGCTTTCGCTCTTAAATTAATAACGATTTTACAGTATTGCTATTTCCTGATAGGTTCCTGATTTATTTTTGCTTAGACATCTACGTGAAATTAGAATTGAGTGCCTTTTTAGAGGCGTTCCTAGTTAATTGAGACGCATTGGGGCGTCATAAAAAGCTGCAATTATTGCCTTAAATAGCCGGCTCAAAATACTAAACAACTTTTTGGCAGTTCAAAAACTGTAAACTGAATTTCAATAGGAAGTTGTTTCCATAGAAACGTTGCATTCAAAGCATTTGCATTTTTTGCTTGGAAATAAATTGCTACTCCATCGAAAAACTCGCTTTATTCTAATAAATATATTCAATGGCTTCTATTTAAGTAGTTTTTGTGAAGCTCCTCTAAATAAAAATGCTTTGAATAAACGTTCTATGAATGAAATGTTGAAGAAACGCGTAATTTTTGTATCTATTGGAATTTCGTTTACTGAAAAATCTGGTTGTATTGTAAATTATTTTAATGTTATAAATTAAAACAGGGATAATTACAGATAATAGTTTAGTGATTTTGAAGTAAATTATTATATCTTTGCACACATTTCTAAATAATTTGAAAAAAATTGAAATTTAAAATGTAACAATACTCCGAAAATATTAAAATACTGGATGGTGTAATAATATTAAGGGATACGCGCTAAATAAATATATATCACCGAAATTAAAGAGATAAATAACTTTTTTATTACTCTAAGATGCGGACATTGTCAGAGAGGAGGCCTCCAAACTACATATTCCTTTATTTTTTTTGCCATCGTCATTCAATGTTTTTTTCGTAAATTAAATTATATTAATAATAGCTGACTTAGATTATTTGAAACGAATAAGATTCGATGTATCGTATGTAGTTTTCACAATTATCCTTTAATAGACGAATCTTTCCGTCTACATGAACGCAGTTAGCTCAAAAAATACCGCTACCAGTAGCACAACCATCTTTTTAGAAAGATGAAGCCTTCTGAAGAAGATTTCTGTATCTATTTAGTGATCATATACATAATGGTCGTGTTTTGTACGATTTTCGTCAATAAATAGTGTGATTCCTGGTAAAGGTATAACTAACTCAAATATAACGATTATAAAAGTGATCGCGGAAAATAACGTCTATGATCTTTATTTCTCAAACGTAGTATCAGACAGCCGTCCTAATTTTAGTCTACTAGGCTCATTCTGATGTGTATTTTTAATGCCCTTTTTTAATTTTTTTTTTTTTTTTTTATAGAACGGGGGGCAAACGGGCAGGAGGCTCACCTGATGTTAAGTGATACCGCCGCCCATGGACACTCTCAATGCCAGAGGGCTCGCGAGTGCGTTGCCGGCCTTTTAAAAATTGGTACGCTCTTTTCTTGAAGGACCCTAAGTCTTTAATGATAAAAAGTAAAAAAGATGTATAGAAAATCTTGCAATATGCATACGGGCTACGGCAGGAAGCTTACCTGTTACTATCATTCCAATTTGGTTCATTGTCACCAATCGTTCTCTGTATCTCATCATAAACCTTCTCTTGTATCGCCTTGTATCGTATAAGACACAAAATAGCAAACTCTACAACATTACTTGTCGTCTGTGAGCCCGCTATTAAGATATCAAGACAAATGGTATTTAATTGTTCCTCTGAAAGAAACAATTGCTTTAATTGGGGCCAATAGCAAGAATAAGTAAGAATGCTTTGGTTTAAATTTCAATAGCACTGCGTTTCCGCTTTCGAAGAACTCATTATTTACGAGCTGTATAGGAAAAATGTGAAGTTTTAAAGTTCTTAGTGTTATTAAACTCAGAGTGGTTATTTAAATGTAAATTAATAAGCATTTATATTGATCGATTGACCGTGTGTTACATATAGAGCAAGATCCCAGGGCCGCCAGACGTCACGTATTTTCTGACGGATGAAATGTGGACGATTGGGTAGTGTTAGTATGTACTATGATCGTATGCCTACCTGCTAGCTTGGTCAAACGGCCAATTTCCAGGTATCAAGTAATCAAGGTACACAAAAACATTACTTACTTCACGTAAATTCTCATGGCTGATTTTTATATATGTTTTCGAGTGTATAGTTAAAAATAAATTGTCAATACTCCCAGACACGTTCCGTCGGCCATATTGCTTGACAGACGCTTTAAGGGTCTCAAAATAATTAGTCAACTTCACGTAAATTCTGACGCTCCATTTTTATATATGTTCATCCGACAACTATTTTAAAAGCTTTGACAAGAAGACAGACCGATCCAAGGGGCCAATCTTCCCCTAAACTAAATTTTAATATATCTGTGAGTGGGAGCGCGAGAGCATTATCTACGCGCATGAGACTGAGTGAGACCGACTGCGCTGTTAAAGCCATGAAAATTACTTGAACAGATATTTTATAATTTTTAGAACTTTTGTTGACAAGTAAATTATAGCAACAAAAATAAGAAAAAAAATGGTAAATATGATAAATAGTACTAAAGTTAGCAGACATTTTTAATTTTCTCACAGAGATATTAAAATTTAGTTTAGGGGATGATTGGCCCCTTGGATCGGTCTGTCTTCTTGTCAAAGCTTTTAAAATAGTTGTCGGATGAACATATATAAAAATGGAGCGTCAGAATTTACGTGAAGTTGACTAATTATTTTGAGACCCGTAAAGCGTCTGTTAAGCAATATGGCCGACGGAAAGTGTCTGGGAGTATTGACAATTTATTTTTAACTATACACTCGAAAACATATATAAAAATCAGCCATGAGAATTTACGTGAAGTAAGTAGGTAATGTTTTTGTGTACCTTGATTACCTGATACCTGGTAATTGGCCGTTTGACCAAGCTAGCAGGTAGGCATACGATCATTCAAATTCAAATTCAAATTCAAAAGCCTTTTATTGCCAACCTTAAATAACATTACTTTAGCTGTGTTAGTATTTAGTTTTCTTAATTTATTGTTAGTATTATATTTAATAGTATATTAAATAACTAATTGTTTATTTAGTTGGGTACCCGGTTATGGGTAAAGGCCTCCTCCATATTTTGCCATCTGTGTCGGTTCTGAGCGTCCCTTGTCCAGGTGTTGCCAGCCATGTCATGTATCTCATCTCTCCATCTCATAACGGGATGACCTTTGTTCCTTCGGCCGTCTCTGGGATACCAATGAAGTACGCGTTCGCTCCATCTTCCGTCATTTACTCTTGTTATGTGTCCTGCCCATTTCCATTTGAGTTTGCAGTACATTTCGGCAGCATCTATTAAGTTGGTTTGTTTCCGGATCTCTATATTTTTTACTCTATCACTTAGTCTTACACCCAGCATCGATCTCTCTGTTGCTCTTTGGAATACTGACAGTTTTTTTTATTTGTTTTTTTGTTAGAGACCATGTCTGGCAGCCGTATAATAGGCATGGTAGAATCGTGCTGTCATACAGTTTTTTCTTTAAGTGAATTGGTATTTTTTTGTTTTTGAATATATCTTTGTTTGCCCAGAATTTTTTCCATGAGATGGCGATTCGTCGACTTAGCTCTTTTTCTGTGAGATCGTCCAGGGAAATGAGTTGGCTTAAATAAATGTATTCATTTACATACTCTATTACACATGACTCTATTGTTGTAATTATGCGGTCGTCATTGGTCATAATTTTGGTTTTTGTCATGTTCATTTGTAAGCCTATATTTTTACTTACAGTGTTTAGTGTTGAAAGCATGATTTGTAGGTTTTCATGAGTATTTGACAGTATTACTATGTCATCGGCAAAGCGTAGATGTGACAGGAATTCTCCATTTATGTTAAGTCCACAATTTGCCCAATGTAGTTTCCTGAACATTGATTCTAATAGAGCTGTAAAAAGTTTTGGTGAGATAGGGTCGCCTTGTTTGACTCCACGTTTAATTCGAAATAGTGGCCCATAACTCTCTAGTTTTATTTTGGCGTTATAGTCGTCATATATAAGTTTTAATATTCTAATAATTTTATTATTTATTCCTTGTTCTTTTAATGCTTTCCATAAATGTGTTTGTAAAATCGAATCAAACGCTTTAGTATAATCAACGAATGCCAAGTAGATAGGTTTGTTATATTCTCTGCACTTTTCAATGTACTGTGTCAATGTAAAGATATGGTCAACAGTTGAGAATCCTTTCCTAAATCCGGCTTGCTCTCGTGGTTGCTGTTCGTCTAAGCTTTTACTGATTCGGAAGAGTAAGAGTGATGAGAAAAGTTTGTATAAAGTTGGTAGTAAGCTGATTGGGCGGTAATTATCTATTAGTTTGGAGTCTCCTTTCTTGTATATGAGTGTTATTATTGAATGTGTCCAATGATCGGGTATTTTTTTCTCTTTCAAGTATTTTATTAAAAATATTAGTCAGGTGTGGTGCCAATTGTTCTGCCGTTGCTATTAACATGTCTGTGGTGATGCCATCTTCGCCGGGTGATTTATTTTTCTTCATTCTTGAGATAGCGCTTTCGACTTCGTCTAGTAAAAAAGCAAGGGACCTGTTCTTGATCGTGTATCTGGTTTATATTTAAGTCGACTGGGTTCGTTTGTTGGTTTTCCGAATATAATTTTTTATAAAAGTCAGTAGCTGATAGAAGGATGCTTTGTCGATTTGTTATAGTTTCTCCTGATTTTGTTTTTATTGAGTGCATCCATTCTTTTTTTGTGGCTTTTCTGGCTGTTTTTAGTAGAGCCTCTTGTTTCCAATTCACTTTCAATCAATTTCATTTTTATTTTATTTTTCCTTTCAATTATTTTTTTCTTTATTTTTCTATAAAGTTTCTTTAGCCTTTTTTTCTCTATGTCTGAGCGTGGCCATGTGTTCTTAAGTTTTTCTCTTTCATTTATTAATTTTAGGATATTATTGTTTATAGTGTTGCTTTCTTGGTCTTTTTTTATCGCATTTGTTGGTAAGTACGAAGTGCTTTTTTTGTATTGCAGACACTATAGTTTTATAGTGGTTATTTATATTTTCAGGTGTAGGATTTCCAGCTAGTTCTCTTGTTACTATCATTCCCATCACATTTGATTCTATAGGTAGAAACGTTTTATTCTTAGTTCGAAGAAATTTACGTTTTTTCTTTGTTTGTTGTAATTTGTAGGATATTCTCAGCATTCTGTGATCAGACGGGAATTTTGGAGAGAGAATTTCAAAATTTGTTATGAATCTTTTATCTTTAATCAATATGAAATCTATCTCGTTTTTAGTTTTGCCATTGGGTGATAGCCATGTCCATTTCCGTTTTTGAGGTTTCTTAAATATGGTATTAGATATAACGAACTTGTTTGTATAACAGAATTGTAGTAGTCTTTCCCCTCTTTCATTTCTTTCTCCATATCCATATTGCCCACAGATCTTGTGTTCTTCAGGTAGAGGAAGCCCAATTTTTGAATTGAAGTCCCCTAGTATAATGACGTGTTTCCCAGTGTTTGAGAAAGCTTGAGTGACTTGGTTGTAAAATCGTTCCACCGCTTCTTCTTTAGCTCTTTCGATAGGTGCGTAAGCTTGTATTATGTTTAACACAGTTGTGTCACACTGAATGTCTAATCTTACGACTCTGTCTGAGTAAGTTGTGAAATCTATAATGTTCTTTTTTAACAGAACATTTAACGTTACTATTGACGATAAATCCTACTCCATTTGACCCACTTTTGTCTCCTCTATACATTAAGATATAGTTTCTATATTGTTCTATTTTTATGCCTTCCATTTTTACTTCCGATAATCCAATAATATCATATTTTATTTTATCTAGCACTTGATCTAATTCTGGTAATCTATTTTCTGCGAGCAGCGATCTAACGTTGTACGTACAGATGTAAATAATATTGTTTTTTAATTGAGTTTTATCCTCATAGCCTTGTGGAGGGTTGTGGTCATACTCTTCCGCGGTGACCAACCGTCTTGGAAAGGTTTTCGTGTTAAGTGTTCCAATTTTGAATGTTTCACATCTTTTAGCTGGAGGGTTTTGGTCTAGTGCTCCCGCGGGGACCAGCCGTGTTGGGAGACGTGGAAATGAATTTTGTGGGAAGTTGGTTGTCTTTGATTGTTTGTTTTGGTTTTGGTTATGAGTATCAGCGCGGGTTGTTAGTTTTTTGAGGGTTCTGATATTGACGCTGATCGTCCGCGTTCAACATAGTTAAGTATGCCAGGTTTCCGGATTTCTTTAGTTGCTCCACTTTTCGGCTTTTCTAGGTTGGATTTTTTCTGTGTTGACGGGATTGGTGAATTAGACTCCTCTCTTTTTCTTTTATCACGGTTTTTGTCTTGTTGCGATGGTGCTTTAATTATTATTTTGTCGTATCTCAGGAATGCGATATTTCCTTTTTTCTTCTCTTCCTCGACCTGTGGCTGGAGCTGTTTGCGTATTTCCAATACTTTTTTTGGGGAAATCTTCTTTGATGTAAATACCTGATGGAAGGTTAGATTTGCATTTCATTATTGTATGTTTTTTCCACAGTGTTGTGAAAGATACCACTACTGGTCGGTTTTTGTTACTAGTACGACGTCCAATCCTATATACATTACTGATTTCTTGACTTTCCATGTGGACACCTGTGTCTATTATTATCTCTTTTATGTAGTCTACGAGCTCACATTCTGTTTTTCCTAGCTCTTCGAGTCCAAAAAAGATTAGGTTGCATTTACGCTTTTCATTTACGGCATTATCAAGTTTTTGTTCCAGTTTGTTTACCTTTGATATGAGCATAGTGTTTTCTTCCATCATAGTTTTTATTTTCTCATCCATTGCTTCCAAAACGTTCTTAGTGACTGATGTTGTTATGGTTAAAGTTTGTTGTTTTAATTTTTCGTCAAGCTTCGAAAATAGCAACTGCATCATCTCTAAATTGTCCATGTTGCGGTACTTTTTTTGTTTTCGTGCACTGGCAACCCTCTGATCGTCAGTGTCTATGAAAGTTTGTTATTATGTTGGTAGGTCTTTCTGTTTTGTATGTTGGTACCGGGTTGTGACTTGTATTATGTTGGTACCAAGTCTATTTACATTGCATTGCACTTTTTAGGTTATAGTATTAGCAAGTATTGTTTTACACTTTTCTGGTTGAACTGCGTTATTCACACTATGTATTCAATCTTGTTATGATCCTTTTTAGTTGTTGGACTGTTTTTTGTTTTATAGTCACTTGGTAGATTCTTAATAGCACAAGAGAACAATTAATATAGCGGAGATCACTGACGTACGTGTTACTGTTGCGATACTCAAACCGGATACCGATACGGCATACGATCATAGTACATACAAACACTACTCAATCGTCCACATTTCATCCGTCAGAAAATACGTGACGTCTGGCGGCCCTGGGATCTTGGACCATTGTACGGGCTTTTGAATCATTTTGATGAATCAATCATTAGATACTTGATAGAGGACTGCGGCAGTAAAATGCTTCTAAATTTATATTACTACCAATAACATATTAAATAAATCAGTGGCGCTACAACCTTTTTAGGTCTGGGCCTTAGATTTCTGTATCTGTTTCATGATCATTTGGTAATCTAATAGGCAAGTAGGTGATCAGCCTTCTGTGCCTGAGGCACGCCGTTGACTTTTTGGCTCTAAGGCAAGCCGGTTTCCTCACGATGTTTTTCTTCACCGTTCAAGCGAATGTTAAATGCGCACAAAAAGAAAGTGCATTTGTACACAGCCCGGGATCGAACCTACGACCTCAGGGATGAGATTCGTACGGTCAAGCCACTAGGCGACTACTACAATGTAATATTACCATGAAAAAAACCGTTGTTACTTTCTTTCATCTCTTGTAAAAATGTGTATATAAAATCGCTGCCTTGTACAGTTCCATTTTTATGTTTGATGATAGCTTCCTAAAAACAAATTGAATTCAATTTCAGTTCTCTATGAGTGGAATAGAAACAGTTGCACATCAAAGGGTGGCTTTTCCTAAATAAAAAATAACATTAATGAGAATTCGTATCTAATCCGGCCATGACGCTACGCGGGCTAGTTGTCAAAGCTAGTTCCATTTTTAAAAATCATCTTTAACATTTTCCAATTTTAAATCTAATGCAAAGCTTAAAAAAATAAAAGCTTTTTAAAAAATGAAAAAGATTTTTAAATTAAAATTTTGATTACTATACAACGAACTGACTTACAGAATAACTAAATAACGTATGTAGGTTCAAATAAAAGGAAACAACTTCAACTCAAAATCAGAAATGACATGTTTTATGTTTTGTTCTATCGGTTACGTAATTTCGAACAAACTTATGATATTGTTTTGCTTTAATAGCATGTCCCATGCTAAATATGCAAAATATCATCCATTCATCCATTGCACTAGCCATTTATAGTTAGATCTAAGGCGACATTATTACTTCACAGTTAATAACACCCATTTTGGGGTTAGGAAAATAATTAACCCAGTCAATCTTATAGGTAAGTTACTTACCTTAATAATATCGCTTATTTGTAGATTTAAATTTTTTATTAAGTTATAGCCACTTAAGTCTGGAAGAACGAATCGTATCCAGGGCCACAAGTTGAGCCAGCCACCAGCTATCGAGAAGGCCTTAGAACGTTTTGCAAACAAATCTAAAATGTAACTAAGTCGCTCCTGTTCAATGCGTTCACCTGCAATGAAAATGTGTATCTTGACAACGATTTATTCATTTATAATATTTTTACATATTAAACTAATTTTACCATAATAGAACTATTTAAACACTTCTGATTTTTTAAGATTTAAACCAAAGTTACAATACGTATTGCGCTTTCGTTTTAGTTCAAATTAAAACGAATAGAAGATATTCCCCAAGCTTAAGATTTGAGGCTTAGAACGTTTATAAATAAGGTGAAAAGGTATGATTTACACTATAGGGTCGCCGTATAATCCACCGCTATATATTTCTTGCATTAGTAGTGCCGTGATGGTGTATATCATTACCGTTACAACACGGGAGCGCCATGCTCTCCCAATTTTGGTACTTTAATCCGAACCTATTAGGTTCCAATTGGTTCTAAGGTTAGTTTATTTATATCATCAATAAATGTGTTAATAAACGGATAACTCTTAATAAACGTGTCCATAAAGAATATAATATTAGATCAGAGTAAATTTATTTAATTATCTACTTTAAACAGCAAAAAAACTTTAATGATTGAACGACCACAGTATATAATCTTTTTAAACTCACTTAACAGTGGTATCAGAAATAACAACACAGAATTATTTTAATGCACGCTCTCATTAATGTAGAAAGTATGTTATAATTATTTAAAAAACTTCACTCGTTATATTTTTCACACTATAATGAAACCGTATTTAAATTTAAAATGACATACATAAACTATAAACATAGCTAAATTATACAAAGATGTAAAGCTGTGATTTATAAAGCCTTCTTAGACTTTTTCACTCTTCTTCTTGCTTAGTGTAATCTCATAACTGAAATTTGTGGAGAAAGGAGTCGTCCCCTCAACTAAAACTAAGGATTCTTGACCAATGATACCACTGCTAGCCCGAAGGTAGTTGCTATATTTCGTCAGTGGTATGATTTTCTGATGGATTTCCATTACTATTTATTTCCGTTTATTTATTCACTTTATTTGTAAGCAAAATTTTGCTTTGGTGACTAACCCTTTCGTAGAAGCCATTAAAGAACATAATGAGGAAGTACAACGAAAGATGAAACCATTTCGTTTGATTACGAATGGTCAAACGTTAAAATGGATGGTGTCGCTTATCTATGATTGGACTAGATATACTGTTGATTTTAAATATTTAAAATGAAAGAATCACTGACATTTCTTTCATTTTAAATATTTATGCTTATTCATAAGCATGGCAAGCTAAAATATTATATTAAAGTATTAAATATTTAACAGTGAAATATAAAGTTTCGTTTACGTAAAAAAAAAACTTCTTCAATGAAAAAAGCCCAACCTTTGCAATACCAACATAAAAAAAAAACATTGAATAACGGTTGTTATCTAATTTAAAATATAGTTACATACTCATAATAGATTTCAAGGTACTAAATGAAAAGATCTTAAGATATTTCGATAATGATTACTTGGAATGTAGACGCTTGTTATATCAGAGAAATTAAATTCTAAGTATTCAATAAACATGATGTGACTTTAAATAAATATTTATTAGCCGTTACAGGAGTTTAATAAACTACTACAGAACTTTATCGAGATAAATGAAAGAATTCAACATTCAACTTCGAATTAATCCGGCTCGAAGGATCAAAATTTTCGAAACCTATGAGTGAAGCTTAGTTATTTAGAGTATGATTTCCACTTTATTATATTAACCACATAAGTCGAGCATACTTATGTTAATTAATTAAATTCCTCGTCGTAACTACGACGATTTGGATAATCGCTGGGCTTATGAAACGAATAAAAGCCGACCGAGTAGTACAACGATTGATTGGTACTCGTACAGCGGTATACGGATAGGATTTAGATTTTTACAAATAAATACCGTTGGTTACTATAGTAACATCTTTAGAGCATTGTTGGTCTAGTGGCTTAAGCGATTAACTCTCTACCCTGCCGTAAGTTCAAATCGCGGCTATGCACAAATGGATTTTTCTTTATATAAGCGTAAGTCACACTTGCTCCAACAGTGAAGGCAATGTGACGGAACCGGCATCTCTTAAAACCCAAGAAGGCTAATCTTCTACTTATCTATAAAAATGAACAACAAAGAATGTATCCCGCCAAGGCCTATAAACACCACACTATACCAATCCCAAATGTAATATTATTTTATCATTATGGTAAAAGTTAAGAACATGTTATACTGACCAGCTGTGAATTTCCACAAAATATTCATCACTGACATCGCGAGAATGAGTTTCGGATTAATCGGTGTTTTTCTGTTCTTCTCAATGTACTCTAGAATATTCACAAGCTCGCTTTGAATTTCTTTCTCCATCGGGGTTTTACCAAATCCGACGTTTTTCAAATGCTTCACTGTGAATTGTCGGTGTTCCCGCCACAGAGGTCCATCGACAAAGGTTATTCCTGCAATTATTTAATTCGTTGAACAATAATATTGGGAGGAGACCTTTGTGGACATACGGACAACGTCGATATAGTTAGTTTGTGATAGAGAATAGGAATACGTGTGTAAAGGCTTATTTATGTAAAGTATTGTATACCTATGGTAACGAATAAGATACTCTTTTGCTAATAGTCTGGATCAAATTACAATTTAAATAAATTGTGCGTGTACTAGGTGTACACACGTAAGAAGTGAAACTTCTTTATGATCTTATTTTTCGAAAAATGATCTACTATATGCAACTTTACAGAAATTCGTTAAATTAGATAAAGTTTAACAAAAGGCTTTTATTATCATAGACATGAATACAAATATTTCATTTTACGTTATTACTACGAAGATTATTATAGAATTTCATTAATTGTAATAGAATTATTACTATCATTGAAAAACGTGACGATTTGCTACAAAATTTATCCCATACGTCGATAAAGAAGTTTCATTCCAACGCCGATAAAGAAGTTTGACTTCAAAAAGCAACATGGCGCGTAACCGAAAAATGTGACGCGTAACGAAAAAATGTTACACTAAATTTTTTTCCAACCTCGATAAAGAAGTTTCACTTCAAAAATTAACATGATTAAAATACCATATTTATTACAAAGTGAATGGATAACATTATTACTAATCAAGTACATATAATTATATAATGTAATCATTAGCCTTAGAATAACAAATACATAGTACGTTAAGTGCAGTTTAATTCAATATATTAATTAAAATAGGTATGAATTAAATTGTAGCGCTGAAAACTAGGACAAATTAATAATTAAAATCAGTAATTACATATGGTGTACAGTTTCCTGCGAGTTCGTACGTGTAGTACAAATCTTATCGACACCAATTGCTATCGCTGGGAATTTACTCAGAACACACAATTCCTTTGCTCAGATCCAAATACTGTTACACGGCGTAACCTACCTATACAAGATAGAGCGACCTACTTTATGAAATATATATTCTATTCAATACAAAGACGAACAGGGGGGTAACGGGCAGGAGGCTCATCTGATGGTAAGTGATACTCTCAATGGCAGAGGGCTCGGAAGCGCGTTGCCGGTCTTTTAAGAAATGGTACGCTCTTTTCTTGAAGGACTCTAGGTTGAATTGGTTCGAAAATACTTCCTGCTGGTTCCACATGTTTTATATAACGCTCAGTTGTGGAACGACGACGGAATACCACATTCGACCCCACATTCGTATCACTCGGAAATCATTAAATTAAAACAGATCCATTTGCTGGTTTATCACATAAATGCGATTCGAATTAAAAGAAACAATATGGTCTTAGTAATAAGTTTGATAAAACATCATTAGATAAAATGATAATTAGGTGGTTATATAGCCTATGTATATATGTTAGTTATTTCGACTATGATTTGAGTGTTGTTCCCACGAGAATGTAAGTGCGGGCTCCTATTTCACCATGCCTCATGCTGATAGAAGACAATTTTTTTGTTATTTTTTTTAATTAACTATTAATTACTTAAGAAGTCATGTGTAACATGGTGTAATGATTGCAGCTCCTTACAAACATTGTGTAAAACAAAAAAAACTTGGCGATTAAAAAGAGTGGCGGAGAGTTTATTGCCAGTTCGTCTCTTCCGTTCTACGCCCTTGATTTAAGAACTGGCTGTAAATTTAAAATTAGAAGCATTTTATATGTATTTATTTTTTTACGTTCATAAATGTACATTGTGTTAGCTATATGAATAAACGATTTTGACTTTGAGTCGCGATAGTTCGGATAATGCACGTGTTTCACGTTTTGCATGGGTCGCCCGAGTGTATACATTTTCGCTCATTGTTTACTTAGAAATTTTAATATTGTGTTCAAAGAGCTTTTAGATAAAAGGTTAAAGGTACACTGCCACAGGGACCAAACTTTTTAAATTTGTTTTGATTTTCATTTTAATTATTTCTATTATTACTTTGTAGGTAAAGAAAATCGTAAATACTGTATACTTGAATGTAAATAAAATTATCTAATTTTTGAAAATCAGACATAAGACGACAAAAAAAAAGCTTTTAGATTAGATAATGTTTGATCAAATTTTATATCTTAGAATGGCTATTTAAAAAATAGACAACGCAACAATTATATAGTATATTGAAAATTTAATGAACAATTCGAAGTAATTACTATTGACATAAAATATTCATGCTCCTAGAATAGGCCATGCCACCATATAGCATATAGCCAACATATAATTTAGTAAACATTTAATAAATAAGCTTCTTGCGGCACTATTTATAGTACAAGTTATAGTACAGTGGCACGAAACTCTAGCGCTGACCGTTATTGCGCAGAAGTAAAAAATAAGGTACCTGACCCCCTCAAGCTAGCGGAATGAAGAGTTTCGATTGGCTCTCCAGTCGCATTCCGTCCCCCGCGCGACAGTACACATGCGCAGCAATCCCCTCCACGTATCGGCCAGCGCTAGACTTACGTGCCGCTGCCTATAACAAGCTTTATTTCTTACTTATTCATATTCCGTAGCATTTATCGACCAGAAACTCACCCAGTCGTTTTCCGAGACACCTCAGCCTGATGAAAAAGCTGTCTGGACGGCCTTCAAATTCCTTTTCGGTGAAGACTTGGCGTATGTTCTTTTCCCCAAACACAACAACAATTTGGTCTGAGCCAAGCTTAAGTCCAAGTGCCTTCGTCGAGTACTCTTTTGCCAAAACTGAGAATGCCTTCCACTGTGAGCCGTATTGCATTGTCATTTTTTGGACTACCGCACTCGATCCAACGAAGGGGTACCATTTTGGACCTGAAAAATCGTAATGGAAATTGTATATTTAAATAAACAGAAGAATCAAATGTCGAAATTCTCGTTAAGTAAATATTAAGTTTCTAAAAGCATAATTATTAGCTAATTTGAATAATCAGTTAGTTAACTTTTCAACAATGCAACCTTCAAATCCTATAATATGTTTCATATATTTTTAAGGAACTTAATTCTTTTTGTGGTTTAAGTTTTGAGGAGTGTGTGTTTTTTTGTGGAAGAAGGATGGTGTGCTGTTACTCCAACTTAAAGTAAGTTCCTCGACTAGTCTAACCACAGACTGGACGGCCAGAAGGCCCCGCGTGTTGTTCCCACGAGAATGTAATTGCGTGCTCCTATTTCACCATGCCTCCTGCTGATAGAGGACAAGTCTTTGTTTTTAATTTATGTTATTATTATTAATTACTTACAATGTCATGTGGAACATGGTGTAATTGTTGCAGCTCCTTACAAACGTTGACAAACCTTACAAACATTGACAAACGCGATTAAAAAGAGTGACGGAGAGTTTATTGCCAATTCTTCTCTTCCGTTCTACGCCCTTGATTTGAGAACTGGCACTAAATGTAAAGTTAGAATCATTTCATATACATTTTTTTTTGACGTTCATAAGTGTACATGGTGTACACCTATATGATTAAATGATTTTTGACTTTTGACTGTTTTTGACCCCAATGGCTGAGTTCAAAACTATATATCAATAGCGGCCGGAATAACTTCTTTTGCACGTCTCAGGGTATTACGTCATAGCAGTGATTTGTAGGTACAGATTGTAGAAGTCTCTAGAAACTTAACACGTAGGGCGGTTTGTACATATTCCACAACTATATCTAAAATTTATGTTATGCTAAAAAAGAGGAGCCCGCCCAGCCAATTCCTGCCTAATTAACATCGACCTCGTAGGGGCCTCGTTTAGGACCAGAGGTGCCGCCGAGGAGTTTTAGTGTCACTTTTCTGGTATTCAACATTTAAGCTACTGTTCCTACTGCTGCCATAATTATTGCCCTAAATACCTACTCTTTGCTGCAATATCGTCGCCAGTTAAGTTGCTTAAACTTTACTCTTTGAACGAGCAATTTCAAGACCATACATACTCACTTTCCCTACTTCCCTGCTCATTTCCCTTTCATTTACGACAATACTAAAATAGGGAATAGCGCAGTTGCTGATAAATGTCATTGAAGCCGATTAACCACAGAACAATTATTAAATACAGTAGTCTAATTATGTAGTAACAACTATGGTGAGCTGTTATTTATAATTTTAAATATTATTTTTATAATAAAGGTATATGTATTTTATGTTAATGTGTGCTCGCTCGTGTTAGTTATACATATATCGTCACATTCCATTCCATAATAATTAAATGTTTCTTAAAATTACCATCCTAATAAATTTTAAACTAATTAAATTTATTTATGTGCGTATTTTTTTTCTTTCAAATAGAATTGCTTTATTTTTAGGGAGAGCTATAGAAAATATCGATTGGTTAATCCTAAGGTTTAATTCTTTAATTGATTGATTGATTAGGTTATTCTTATATAGATGATTAAAAGGACAAACTTGGTGACGTGACGAACTTTTTTTCGTAAATATTTCCGAAATTCTTGAAAGATTGTTTGATTTAGAGGTCGACGGAAAATAACATTAACACACAACTCTCAATTTTATGTCGCATTCAGTCACATTTCATAATATCAGATATAACAACAATTTTATCGTTCGATTTTATCATTTCACTTTCTTTCACATGCACCTAGTCTTATTATAGCAAATAGTGGATCGATTTGAATCGAGCGTTGTTTTTAGAATTTTATCAATTACGTTTTTATCAGGAACATGAATACTTTTTTATACGAATGTTATTCTTATACAATAATAGTAATAGACCAGTGGCGCTACAGTATTTTATATGATTCTCAGATTGCATCCGTTTCTCTTATTTCATAGACAAAAGGCTAATCTTCTGTCTGACACATATTATCGATTTAAGATATGCCGGTTTCTTCACGATCTTTTCCTTTAAACTACGAGCGCACATAAACAGAAAGTCCATTGGTACACAGCCAGGGGTTGAACCCATATCCCTGAGGTCGTACCTCAGGGCAGGATATGGGCAAACTGAAACCTCTAGGCAAACACTGTTTCTTACATATATCAAATTTTTTTTGTTAACCAAATTAAGATTTCGTTTAACTGGTTTTAAAGTATTATTATTCATAAACCAAGTCTAACTCCTTTTATAATAGAGTACTCATGCGTCTCTTTTTATCACAGCGTAAACACTATGTTATAGAAAGAGGCGAAAGAGTAGCTTAGTTAAAAGGATATAATTTATAATATAACAATGTAGTCTACATTTTAGGGTCTTGGTTATATATTTAATAAAAAAAATAAATGAAACGTAAACATAATTTAACTACTAAAGTCCTACTAAATTGAATAATACTTTTATTTCGAATATATTTTTTATCAATTAAATATTTCTCCTTATGACCTCAAATGAAGTTTCACCTGGCCAGGTGCGTGTTGGATGACGTGTATGTACTCCCGGCCTATACCTGATAGGACTAACTTTGAACACCATGCAAGCAATAGTTAATTGCGCCCGCAGTAAAGGGGTGAAGGCGTTTACGTTTATATATACGAACTTTATATAAAGAAAAAATCTTGAATAAATCATTGTAAATTTCTTATTTTGACTATCGTGAATAAAAATCGTGACACATATTGATTTACTCGCATTTTACAGTCACGACCATGTAAAATTACGTGATTAAATTCGCCATAAATATTTTTTATTAAATTTATTTTATTTGTAAACCAGAAATCAAATGGGATAAACAAGGCATTACCCAAAATCAACAGTTTAACGAAAAACTACTGTGTATAGTAATAAAAACACCAGCCCTGCGATTCTGTAACTCACTTTTCGAACTCACACAGCGGTTTTCGCATCGGCCTGAAGCAGTCATTTTATGATTTGGCATTCTGATAAACAATAAACTACAAGCTACTACCTTTTTTAGAATGCCAAATCATAAAATGACTGCTTCAGGACTGATTTGAGAGCGACCGCCGATGCGAAAACCGCTGTGTGAGTTCGAAAAGTGAGTTACAGAATCGCAGGGCTGGACCTAATTTACACTTATGTCATTATTTTCTTAAATATACTAGATGTTCAGCATTATGCCTGAAATATGTCGTTGATTTTTGGGTTTAAGATTTCGATTTTCACCGCGAGCTGGGATCTTAACGCACGAATAGGAATAAATTGTCGATTTAAAATACTCAATTAACTTTTTACTTATAAGTAGAAAAATAAACCTCACTTAACTTCATACAAATTAAATTCACTCTTGTGTCTTTATTTATAGAACAGGGGGCAAACGGGCAGGAGGCTCATCTGATGTTAAGTGATATCGCCGCCCATGGACACTCTCAATTCCAGAGGGCTCGCGAGTGCATTGCCGGCCTTTTAAGAATTGGTACGCTCTTTTCTTGAAGGACCCAAAGTCGAATAGATTCGGAAATACTTTAGTGGGTAGCTGGTTCCACATAGGGGTGGTGCGCGGCCAAAACTGCCTTAAAAACGCTCAGTTATGAGACGACGGACGTCGAGGTGATACGGATGGTATTTTGTATTTTGCCTTGACGTCCGATGATGAAAAAAAAGTGTATGTCCCGAGATCATTAATTTTTGAAAGGCCGTTAAGGCAGTTTAGCTGCCCACTGAAGTATTTCCAAACCAATTCGACTTAGGGTCCTTCAAGAAAAGAGCGTACCAATTCTTGAAAGGCCGGCAACGCACTTGCGAGCTTTCTGACAATATGAGTGTCCATGGGCGGCGGTATCAATTAACATCAGGTGAGCGTCCTGCCCGTTTGCCTCTTATTACATAAAAAATATTTTTTTTTATAAAAAATGATCTCGACTTAGGCTCCTTCAAGAATAGTGAGTACCAATTATTTATACGACGGCAAGGCAAATGCGAGCCCTCTGTCGATGTGTGTCTATGCGGGGGCCGTTTGCCCCGTGTTATATAAAAATACAGATATTGTAAATCATTCTCGACTCCACTTGAACACACAAAAATTTTTTACCAAAATTTGTTAAGCCGTTTAGGAGTTTAATTACGAACACATACAAAGAACGTTTATATACCAGAGCTGTATTTGCTGTATAGATAAATAACCTAGATAAAGACTGCAGAGCCATCTGCCAGGCTGATTTGTAAATCTAAACCACCCAGGGCTCCACCCAAACGCATACAAAAAACTTGTGGAAGGAATTATAATATCTCTAGAATATTTAATAAAACAATATAATGCTTTGAGTCAATCTAAAGATAAAAAGTTCACAACAAAGTAGTATATTAATATGTTCATTTTTTATTGAACTATAAACGATTATAGCAATAAACAAAGTAATATGATGATTACTCGATCATTTAATATGTATGATAACAAAAAATGTTATGGATATATTAATTATCTACTATGAAAAATATTACGAACCTTCAGTCACAATATTCTGACACCTTGTCTTTTATAAATATATAAATTATTAATGCTTATGTTATTGTTTTATTTATAAAAAAAATATTATATGTAACCTTTTAAACCTTCCCTGAACGTCCACAAATATTTTAAAATCAAAAATAGCCCAATTAGTCCAATCATTGTCGAGATGTAGCGACACAAACGAACCGCGATTCATTTTCATATTTCATTTCATATTTCATTAGTTTTAGCCGAGTTAAAAATAAATTGTAATATTATGACGATTTTTTGTGACTCATAAATTTTCCCTTGAAAAGGCTATATAATTAATTATGTACTAGCGACCTGTCCACGACTGCGTTTTTAAGTTTTTAATATAAAGAAACAAATCTTTTATATGTATATTTTTTTTTAAATGTTACAGGAGGCTCATCTGATGTTAAGTGATACCGCCGCCCATAGACACTCGCACTGCCAGAAGGGTGGCAAGCGCGCTGCCGGCCTTTTAAGAATTGGTACGCTCTTTTCTCGAAGGACCCTATGTTGAATTGGCTCGGAAATACTTCAGTGGGCAGCTGGTTCCACATAGTGGTGGTGCGCGGCAGACATTGCCTTAAGAATCGCTCAGTTGTGGAACGACGGACGTCATGGTGTTACGGATGGTATTTTGTATTCTGCCTTGACGTCCGATGACGATATTAGTATAGATACAGATGAATTTATATTTTTTGAAACGGCCCATAGCAACAGGTGATGAACTTAAAACCGTCGGACTGATAACTGAAATCAGTTGATTCACATTATAATCGTCCATAATTCATAATAACCAAATACGCAACAAAGCCTAAGGTATACAATAAAAATGGTGCGTGTACTTATGTACGCGCGTAAGAAGTTATACTTCTTTGGCTTTCTTTATTTTTTTTAAATATTATATAATTAATAACAAATATTTAACGTTAATTATTTAGTAATATTTAATATTTATTATATAATAATATACTAAATAACAATATTAATATACAATTATTAATTAATATTAATAATTACTATTATTTATTATTTTATTATATTATTCATTCAATTTAATAACTACCTTTTAACTAAGTAACAATAGGTCTTTGTGAAAAAGCATTGCTAAATTTCTTTCAAAAAATAAGTAAAACTCCTTTATTTGTTTAAAAGGTAAATATCATTTTGTTCATTCAAAATTCTTGGCATAGCTGCTAACTTCACGCATATTCTATTTATTTTTACTTGTAGATTGTTTTATTCCCATCTCGCTCGCGCACGCTATAATCACACTGACAACTTTGTGTCTCAGGTGCGCGCGCATCGTAAAATTTCACTCTCATCAATTTTTCATAACGCGCCTAAAGAAGTATAACTACAAAAAGTTTGGTTGCTGTGGCAACCTTTAACGCTGGCAATATTCAAATATTATATTTTGGTTTCCCATAACCAAGCAATATGCACCCACAATTGAGCACATTTGCGATTTCCAATTATTTTTATACTTTTTGTTTGGAATCAAACAAACTACAAAAGTTACAAAGTGTCTTACTACTCATTTTCTCTTTCATATTATTATATTGAATTATTTGAGACCAAAGTATTTCAGTACAAATTATTTATCCGACTACAGCTTAGTTATTAGGTAATATAGCGTATAAACCG